GCCGGATTCTGAATCGGGCGGATTCCAATCTGGGGTACGACATATATATATATATATATTTTTTTTTTTCTTATAAAAAAAAAACAAAGACTTAATGATTAATATTTTGTTTAGAGGGATTATTTGGAAAAGATACTTTCATATGCAACATTCGACATAATCACTTATGAAAAAATAATTCTAGCTAACTCAAAATTCAGTAAAGAATCACAACCAAAAGTTAACGTACCAAGACTTGTCCCTGGAATCACAAGTTTTCATGATGAGATAGAAATAGGTGACTGGATAATGGACAACATAACTATAAGATTGCCACATTGGATAAAGAAATATAACATAGAAAAAGGCCTTATAGTAACCCAGAATGAATTAGAATGTAGTGAAGAAAACGTTATTGAATTTTTGTGTGATCCTGAATTTAATGTTGACGAAACAATATCATTGAGAATATTTCACATAAAGAATAAATTTGATCTATTGCTAAATGATAATAAAATAGATGACAAAGAAAAGTCCAAACTTGAAAATAATCCATTTGGTTTAGCAAACTTTTCTGATTCAACGGTCAATGTAATTGCTTATAATATTTTTCAAAAGCAACTAAAAATTCAAATTGACACAGATAGAATTAAAGTTTCAACGAAGTTTGAAAATAAAATCGAAGAAGCATTAAATAGTAACAAACCTTACACAGAATTGTTAACTGTTTTTAATAAATATGGACATTATTTTTACAAAGATTATTATTTGGTAATACCTTAGAATCGACTCAACGTATCAACGTACAAACTGAGGTCGAACAAATATCTGAAGATATTTTACCGCAAAAAAAACCAAAACTAACCAAGTTTATAAAAAAATTAAATGTAAGACGATTATCATCACCAAATATTAATACACAAATTGAGGTTGGACAAATGTCTGAAGATATTTTACCACAAAAAAGTCAAAAGCATATAACCAAGTTTATAAATGCATGTAAAAAATTAAATGTAAGATCATTATTATCTTCAGATGATCACAATAATATCGAACTCGGGGATATCACAAAGTGGTTAAAAAAAAGCAAGAGTCCTGATAATTGGCATGTCGTGAATCGATCAGAGCTAATACCAATATGGAAACTTCTTAAGCCCAGTATTCAGATGAAAATTGATAAATTATTGAATAAAGATCGGATTTTGATGATCGGGGAAGAAGTAATAGAGAACAACACTATATTCCATCAAATTAAACTTGATCAATGTTTACGACGTAATGAATATCAAGTTATTGGATCGATTCAAAACTCCAAAAAAACGAATCTAAATGCTACTAATCTTCATATAATGAACTGCAACAATTTTTTTATTAACATAGAAAAGTCTGAGGTATTAAGTAAAGGAATTAATAGGTATAATCCAAAATTATTCATGCTTTATATTTTGAAATTCTATTAATGTTTATCTGGATATTTATAGTAGCTCGAAAATTTGTTGGGCACTAATTGGGAAACCGTCAAATCTCTGCTCCTTTGATGATTCAAAACAATTAGATCAATTAGATAAATTAAGTAAAATAAAGTTAATGTCTGGTGAAAGAAAATTTCAAATTAATATTAATCAAAAGTACTCCTTTGAGTACACGGCTAATAATGAAGATATATTGCCAAAATCCATTTTTGCAATCTCACTTGAACTTCTGTCTAACCCTCAATCCACTACTAACAAGCAAGAAATTGAAGTAATTTCTAAATTTAGGTAATTGTTAATTTTATTTTAGTTGTTTTTACCTAATTCTAATTATTATTATTTTACTTAATAAATAAAATAATTGTAGTCCACAAAAAATCCAGTTTGAAATTACCAAAAAGAATATGAATATGAATAAAAAAGATACATCTTTCGAATATCTTTTAAAGTGGTACATTGTTGATGTATCAGATTACAAAGATTCATTCCCTTGGAATTCACTCGGGTATGAAATTAGTGATCAAGATATTATAACCAATTATGTATTTTAATCGTTTCATTTATTACTTGAAAATATACGGAGATGTGCCGTTTAATAATGCCTGAATTTTTTGTTTTGTAATATTGTCGTTTCTTATAGTACTGTACACTCCCCTGACATTGATCACCGGAATTTTATAATTACACAATGTCGATCATTTTTTTTTACAAGTTTT